CTCATTTTCAACCACACATTTTTCAGTAAAACAATATTTTCTATCACATCAATAATTTTTTCTTCTTTTTCAACCACACATTTCCCATCATATCACTATTCAAAAATCAGTTCTTCCCCCAAAAATCCCTACCAAACAGCCTCGTAATTAGCAAATGACGTCTTTCACTTTTCAATATTATTGTGGAAAATATCTCTATCTTTTTTTTTTTTTTACATTTTCACCTTTAATTTCACCTTTCATTGCGCAAAAGGTTATTTTCATCCATTTTCTCAATTCAAAATTATAAAATGATGAAAATACCCTTTTATTTAAATAAAACAAAAGAAAAAAAACTAATTACAATCATAGTCCCAATTTTTTGGAAAGAGCAAATAAATCTCAAATAAATTATTAAACGGGTAATTAGTACATTATGTTCCTATCTTTCACTTTTATTGCGAAAAATGTCCTTAAATTTCTTTCATTTTGGCATTTTCACATTTCATTACACATTTGATTGTGTAAATCATCCTTTCTATCCATTTTCATTCAACTTCTCAATAAAAAACTGTGAAATAATGAATATAGCTTCATATTAAATTAAAAATATACATTTTTTAAATTTCTAATTCTTTAATAATTTATCTGCGACTCGTTTGCACTTTTTAAATTTTTTAAATTTTTAATAAATTTAATTGGGACTCGCTTGCACTTTTCATAAAAAATAATTTTTTTTAATAATTTATTGGGGACTCGTTTGTACTTTTTTAAAAAATTGGGACTTTAATTGCAATTAATTCTTTAACTTTTTTATTTAAATAGGAGGGTATATTCGTCATCCCGCTATTTTTTATTGAGAAATTGAATGAAAATTGATAGAAATGATGATTTGCGCTATCAAATTATAATGAAATGAGAAAATGCAAACAATGGTAATTGGCGCAAAACGTCCCTAACTTTGAAGGTTTTTGTGAAAAATGTCCCTACCTTTCGTTTTTTGGCGTAGAACGTCCCTACCTTTCACATTCTTTGAGTTGAACGTCCTTTTTACCAATTTTTAGTATAAAATGATCATTATACCCTTCTATATAAATAAAACAAAAAGGAAAAGAAAAGAAAAATAAAGAATAAATTGCAATCAGCTCCTAAACTTTTTTAAAAATGCAAATCAGTCCAAAAAAGTGACGATTTTTTGCCTTTTTTAGCCCAAATGCGTCCAAATTCCAACAACCTCCGGCCACCCAAGCCGCCGAACGTTGACACCGATCAACAGCCCTCCAATTCCCCATTCAATTACCACCTAACCACTTTCAATTTCATCAACAATAGTGGTCGGAATTAATGCTGAAA